TGATTACACAGGCCAACAAAAATAGGAAACAATTTTGTAACCTAAAATATTAAGCTTTATAAAATCGTCAAACAGGCGGGCGATCGAAACATGGTCCGCCTTCTCTAAAACTGCTGTATTCAGCAACATCGTTTGCGTAGATGAATATTCTGTAACCAAAACACCTATCACAACATTTGCGATGTGACGCCCTGCGGTATCCGTCGTCTCGTCAATATAAATCCACAGATACTGATTTTGGATGTAGGTCTTTATTTTATTTATGGTGGACATGTAAAGCCAATCGACTTTACGACGCAATGTCGTTTCACCATGTACTCCATGTACTTCTCAAAATAAGAAACGAGAGTTCTATTCCTTATTTTCTGTATTGGAATATCAGCGGCAACGAATGCTTTGCATTCTTACTAATTCTTCGTACTTTGAAGTTTGTGTATTTCCACCAATAAATTGTTGCGATGAGGCATTAGCTGCTTGCTTTGACTCCTGCGCCTGATGCGTTGCGCCCTGCATGTGCTGTTTTATCAAAAAGACTCTATCCAACGCAACAGATTTGTTGCACACCTTACAATACATCACCTGTCCATCTGTCTTGAGAACTGCCTTTGCTTTGCTTTGGGCATTTTCTAAAAGGCAAAGTTTGTGTTAAAATATAAATAATATAGTTCTTTAAATAAATTTAGATTTATCTTCGTTCGGATAATGTTCTCAAAATTACGAAGGAGCCGCGAAAATGCTAGTCTGTTCTTGTGCCCGTCAAATTTGGTCAGAAATCGTTCCTGTGAATTTGTTAATGTTTATCTTTCTGACTAAATCCTGTAAATCTGACGGCTACTGGAACATACTACTTATGTATTTTTAACTCAGGTTGACGTTTTTCCCAAAACCAAAGCAGCAAATAGTCTTCTCTTCCTCGCACTCTTCATATTGTATAAACTACAATTGTACCTTAATAAATTCTACCCTTGCTATTGTGAGCGAGCATTTTTTAGAGCAGAGTTGCCTTTTGTAATGTTTGTTCATGTACTTTTTTCATGTTACACCCAGAAAAAGGTTTATTTATAATAACCAAGATTTGGTTATAGTGATCAAGTGGCATAGTTGGATATGGCGAAATAAATATATAGTCCACGAAAGTCTGCAATTTACTTAAGACTTCTAGTTGGGACAAATGTATATTTGTTAATAATTACAAAACGACTGCCTTAATTGGACAATATTGTTAGTTGAATAAAATCATTGTTGAGCAAATATAAACAATGCTTTGGTTGATACAAGTTGTCAATTAATTTTGTGAACTTGCTGTAGACTTGAATCAGCTAACCGTTTATTATTGGAAAAAAAGTTTCAGTTTGGCACAAATAAAAATTTACTCGATGTTTGTTGTGTTGTGTTGTGTTTGTTGTATTGAGCATAAAATATAGGTACATATTTACATAAGTTAGTTAGTAAAGCAAATAATACATATGTATGTGGTGGTAACAATTTCCTAAAAAACAACGATGAAACAGGAACAGTCGGCGAAAACCCAGGTCAATATCTGCTGGAAGTATACAGCTTTGCTTTTTCCTTGGCTAAATAAACACCTTCAAATTATAATTCACATGAATTATATATCCACTGAAAACCCCCGGTTGGCATCAAACTTTATATTTTTAAATAACTATGCGCGCACCGAAACAACTCGCGGTGATAGAAAAACTGAAACTGAGACAAACAATTCTGTGCATGTCATAGCACACACTTTTCTTTCTCTACCTAGCGCAGCGATCGACATGCCATAGCTTATAAGTATACTGAGCGCTCTGGGACCACATGCGTGTTTCAGCCATATACGAACAGCGGTAGCGGAGCACTGATTTCCACGCACAACGCAATGGTCGGCATACTAGCCCATTCAAACGATTCAATAAGTGGGACTGTGTGCATTGCTCAGCTGGCGCTCTTCGTATGTGAAACACACATTTGCTCAGAGAGCGCTCAGCATTCTTTAGGGGTGGCTCACAAGCACGAATATGTTCCACTCTTAAACCAAATCGTGATTGCCTCAACTAAGATTTGGTAACTATGACTAAACCATGTGTTGAAAGAAAGCTTATCTGCATTAGCAGAGCTTAATAACATCCTTTTATGAACCATACGTTAAGTTGAATGGAATTTGTAGAAATATGCTTCAAAGAAATATTTATTAGTATTAACCAAACCCTTCAACTAAATTAACGATTTGTTACAACCTAGATGAATATTAGAAGCTTTAATATATTTAGTTATAATTACCAACCCATGGTAATAGTTCCCAATCCTTGGTAACAGTTCCCAAATATTGTCAAAATTCGGGAACTAAATATCTTTAGTTGTCGAAACTAATCTTTTTTCTCAGTGTATGTTAAAATATGCACAAACAAATATGGCTTAAACGACTTTATTTTGGTATAAAAAACACATGTACTTTACTCTGTATTTAAAAAAATTTTCAAAAAGGAATATGCTTTTGCATATTTTGGGTTACCCTGATGATCACTAATAGTCATTGAACAATAACAAAATACTGGAGTATTGTGCTGTTGAAAGAAAGGAAATTGTGCTATAAGCGACCATAAGTGCCGAGACTTCTAGCTTTAATTTAAGCTGAAGTGTAAGGCTCTATCACATTTTGTTTTTCCGCTAGAGCTTCTCAAATACTGCAAAAACGCAATTTTTTGATACTTTGACCACGTTTTTCTCAAAATTTGGACGTGGTGGAAACTTTTTACTTACGGTTTCGTAGTCAGCATGAAAACTTCTATCAAAAACAGCTTTAACATTTTAGGTTACAAAATTGTTTCCCATTTTTGTTGGCCTGTGTTACTTAGATTTGCGGTTTGCGCTATAACTCCTCTAACTTCATATCTGAATAATTAGTTGTATGTGTGCTATATGTTAAAGTGAACCTATTTCGATGATTTTCACTGTTAATTTTGTGTTTATGATGAGTCAAAATTGTACTAAGTTTTTACCTGCTTAATTAGAGGAGTTATAACGAAAAACAACACCTCTTAACAATAAATTGTATGGAAGCTAGATGTTATAGTGAACCGATTTCACTGATTTTAAGAGTAGTCATTTGCAAAATTTTAGCAAAAAACTTTAAAACTGAGCGAGTTATTTATAAAATAGTTAAAATTTAAGCAAAGTTTCAAGTATCGCTATCTCGAAAATTAGAGCTAATCTGTCAAGACCGCCGTTGAATTTAGAAGGCCCCAATTAAGTAACAGCTACTATCAGAACCTTTGCCCAAGAAACAGTTTAAAATTCGAGCACAGTGTTGCTATTTATTAAATTTTTAAATTATTAACGAGCAGCATAATTTTAATATCTTCTGTGCCTTGTGATATGCACCTTAGTTACTGCATTTCTATTCTTGTTTAATTTAATTGTACCCATCTTATTTACTTTTGGTAGAATAAGATTATCTTCAGATATTTCAGTTGAAGGCTTCTTGTTTTTTATTTGGCTATTAGCAACTTGAGCAGTATTTTTTGTATTGCTGACAATTTTTTCAGCAGGTTTCCATGTGTGCGGGGATAAAGCAAAATGGCAGCATGATGATTCGTACAACCCCATGAAGTAACAGTATGAACACACGACAGTTCTTTAAGTAACAAAAAGTCTTGATGTTTTCTTATCCGAATCAATTGGTGAATTTTCTCGGTACCAGGAGCAGCAAGTATTTGAGCATTTTTCATCTTGTCGATGACTTTAAAATCATCTTACAAAATTAAAAATGCCTTAACATTAACAGAATTTCATTAACCATTCCCTCTGCTGTTATAATATCTTTACCAAGCGCAACCATTCGATCACACAGAGATTTCACAGTGCCACCTGTTCCATCTGCGACAGTTTTGCCGTGTCCGGAAGCTGTGAGGTTCCATTAAGCGTACTTCAATCCCAGTTTTACATAAAACTGTTGAAAAAGATGAGAGCAGGTTTTTTTCTGTATTGCGAAGTAGGGCGATCTGTTTGTATGTGAATTGCTGATAATTCTGGTAAAATTTCCTGCATTAATTTTTGGACTGGCTATATATGAACCCACACAGCAGCAGCATCGTGACGAATGCATTCTGATACAGTGCAACAGGATATGCACTTCAAACCGCCGTTCACTGTTTTATAATAAAATGCCCCTGTGTGCAATAACAGCTGCTTTTGACGCGTGGAAATGTGCACTCTGTATTTCTGCTGTGTACTTACATACCCAGTTTTGGGAGAAATCTCCGTTATAAAATACTTCGTTGGGTTTTAAACATTCTCTAAAAGTTGATATCGCTCGATGCTGATGAATCCTAAGATACTCATACTTTAAATAGTTTTTAACGAGAGAGTTGGCTTCAGTTATTAAACCATCTATTGTAATATACAATTCTCATCTTGAATGTAATATTAACATCGTACATTTTGTTCCTTGCAGCTGGTCTACTAACAGTGCGAGTTACCTATTTGTAGTATCATGTTTGATCACTACAATTTTTAATGTAGATATTTTTATTTTTACAATTTTCGCATTGACTTTACCAGCATTCTTTATTGTAGATATTGCGTACATGTGATTCTGTAAGTGATTGTGCAGAAGCATTATCCAGCAACTTATGCTTCGACAATCTTAAAAGAACAAATTTCATGTAAGCATCCTCCATTGATTGGTCGGCGAACACACCAAAATGGTTTGTACTTATAAAATGATGCACGAGAAATCTTGATTGAAGGATGCTGCGTTTAGAATTTTGTGAATAAATTATTAAGAGCATCGCATAAATGTGTTTTTCTCTTTTTAATTTTGCCACGAGTTATAGTATCCTTAACACCTGGAGCGACGAAGAATTCTCATCCAACTCAAAAAACTTTTTGATTACCTTATATAATTCTGATTGTCTTCGGCCAGTTTTAGTACACGATCTTTTGCCGCTCAGTGATTCGGAATTTATATATTTTCTTTGAGAACGTAGACATACTAAATGAGATAATTTTTTCATACTTTTGTTTTTTTTTTTTTTAATATAGGGTCGGATAGTAGTTTTCTAAAACCAATTCCATCTTGTGCTGCTATTATAGTGTTTTTTCGTTATTGCAAATGTTGATCGAGTACTTCGCAGTACAAAAGGCGTTCATTAACAACTGCAGCAACTTGCTGTTCAATCGTTTTAACTGCGTTTAATACTTCATTTTCAGCACTAGTTTTGTTTGGTATGATTTTTTGAAATCTTGAGCAACGGACAGTCCATTTACAAATTAATTTATTTTTTTCTCTCACAGTGGCTTTCCGTTGCCGAATACGTCTGTATAATTTTTGTTGCCGTGCCAGCAAAGTACTTATGTACCTGTTCTCTTTATTTTTCGAATCGTCGTTTATCCATGTAGTTTTCATGTTGATTTATGTAAGTCTCCGAAAGACTTGATTGATCTGAAACGAGGAAATTTACGTAAGCGACATGCAACTAAGAATTAATATTACAAATGTCCAAGTTCAAAAAATAAAAGTCTTTGGAAAAAATTTGTATGGTACTTAGCGAGGCTGGATAAAAATAAATGAGACGAATACGTCATGAAATACGAATAAGAAATGTGCAAAGAATTTTGTGCATGTTTTGCTGAACTGTACTTACCCAATTTTCCCTGTTTTCCATTTTTTGACGCTGTTAGTTCATTTGATACCTCGGTCGAAACATTCTCACTACAATCTCCGCACACTCGAATGGAATTTCCAAAGCATTGGCATTAATTAAATCTATTAGATGATTACATAAATGTTTTCATGTCTTTTTAGATAGGCGCAATGGATTATTATTAGTGTTGTATTCTAATTTCCTCAAGCGCTCTTTCCTTTTTCATGAATAATTTTTCTCCTGAGGCTGGGTATCCGGGTGCCACAAGGCAGTTCAGAGAGTTTCTTTGCTAATTTTGAAAAAACCAAGTAAGCTGCGAGGTTATTTGAATTAACGAAAACATTTTGATTACAAATTACTATTCTCAACTTGAACTTGAAATTATATTATTTTGCCTTTTCCAGACTATTTCGCTATTTTATTTTGCCTTTTTTATAGGTTTTTAAGTCCTAAAAATCCGTTCCCTGGTAATAAATATCGATTGGATTGCGACTAGCGTGCAGTGTTTTTCAAGTGAAGACAATTTAAAACAAGCAAAAAAGTGTAAGTCTGGGCGGAACCGAACAATAAATACCCGGCGCAAGTATTCAATAGAGTTTTTTCGCCTTCCGAAAACTACCGCTACATGGTAAGCGGGGGTAGTTTTACCCCTATTTCAAACATCTTCTATATAACGGTCAATTAGACATAATGAGATACACTTATATACATAACTAGTGAACCCGCATGGCGTTAAGACGCCAAAATTGAGTTTAATATTTTAAACAGATGGCAACACTATTCCCAAACCTTAATAAGTATTGCAAATATTTCAAGTAAATTCGTCCATCCCTTTTTGAACGAACAGAGGTCTCAAATGGCGTCGTTTTTTTTTCCTCAAAATTCAAACCACCGTGCACCGTTAAAAAAGGTCGTAACTTCAAAAAATAAAACCCTAATGCACATTTAGAATGACGGTGCTGATCTGATGACCTTCACATTAAAGATCTGATGACCATAACAAAAAAATTATTTATTTATAAAAATTAACACAAACAAATTTTTTCGGTTTATTATGGGTTTATTCGAAAGAACAAATATTCCCATTAGTTATGGAACCCGATTTCATCATGTGACTGTCTTCGCAGTAGCGCATCCTGTTAACCGAGTTCTCCAAGACCTTGTTGATGGTTTCTGGCTCTATCTCAAGAAACGCCCGACATATGCCTTAATGGCCTGAATCGTTAATGGATTGTTCGCATTATATCGGTCCTTCACGGCATGGCACAAGAAAGTCTAAGGGCGTGAAATCACGGCTCCGAGGGGCCAATTGACTTCACCGAGACAGCTGATAACACAATTACCGGAACTTTATCGCTCAAAATAAAGATCGAATAGATGGCAACCCTAACAAAATATATTTTCAAACTAAAGTTTTATTAAAACTCTTTATTTCGCCACTCACATTTTAATATTTCATTAAAATTGTGTAAAAGCTAAAATAAATAAGGCTTTTTAAAAGGTGGCAACCCACTGCGAAGCATTATCAAACTAAAATCTTTTAAAGCTCTTCCGTCTGATACTTTGATACATAATTCAATTAACTGAAGAATTAAATTGAATTGAATTTTTTTTTTCACCTGTCAACTCTCCTCAACAGTTCAGATATAAATCCTTCTCAAACCCACGAACGATTAAATAATCTGTTTTAGTAACTTATTTAACTTAATAGCTCATCAAAGTTTAAAATTTTCAACAGCTGGCAACTCTCTTCAAACCATCAAACAAAATTTTAATGTTTAAACTAAAGATTTCTTAGCACTCTTTCGTTTAACGCCCAAATTTTAATACTGTGTATAACATGGTTTTAACTAAATTCGGCTTTTAAAGGAGGTGGTAACCCTTTTCAAAACATTTTCAAATTACTTCCTTTTTAAACCCCCTTAGTCTGGAACCCTGTGGGGGAACATTTTTAAATTACCTATGTAATTTCCCTGTTTAAAATTTATCTTGATATTTTAAACAGGGGGCAACACTCTCACAGTTAAGCTAAGAAGCAAAGCTTCTAATAACCATTTTGATTGATACCTACTTTTAAATAAATGATTTAGTTTTTGAAATAATCTGAATTTAATTTTTTAAAGGTGGCACTCTTTCAAAAAGTAAAACCTCCTAAAGCCTTTAAATTTGACACCTCATTTTTGAAAACCGAGTGAAAGATGGTGATATGATAGTATTGATTTATAAATAATCTGAACTTGATTTTTTAAAAGGTGGCCATTCTTTTCGGAAAAGTAAAAGCCTACTGCACATCAAGCCCTTTAATTTGATACCTTATCTTTGAAAATCAAACGAATGGTTGATATCTGATGACCTGGGCAAAAAGTCCTTTTGCATATTATATATATAGATATAGTTAAATTCTACTTTTTAACAGGCGGCATCCCTTTTGAAAAGTAGTTTCGCGCTAAGATATTCTTAAATATTCTTCGTCTAACATTGCGATATATATTTTAATCAACTGATGAATTAGGTTGAATTATATTAATTAATCATTAATTAAACTCCTTTAAATATAGTTCAGAAATAAAGATTTTTCAACCCCCCTTCGATGGATACCCGTACTTTAATAATTCATTTGACTTATTTAATAACTTGAATTTAATTTTCAAACAGGTGGCAACCCTCTTCCAACACCTCAAAAATATTTTGTGTGTTCAAACTAAAGTCTTCTTAATATTCGTTCGTTTCACATCATTATTTCGACATTTCATATAACTTTTGTATAAGTTAATTAAATTCGACATTGCAAGAAGGTGGCAATCCTCTTCAAGATATTCTCAAATGGCCACCTTCTGAAGCCCCTTTCATTATGCGCCTATACGTTGAAACATATTTATCCTAATTAATTTTTTTAATTCAAATTGAATTTAATTTTTTAAAGAGGTGGCAACCCTCCTAAAGTTAAGTTAAGAAACAAATACTTTCAAAACCCTTTCCACTGATACTCATTTTAAAATAATTGATTTTTTTTATAATTTGATTGTAATTTTTTAAAAGGTGACAACTCTTTTCAAAAAAGTTAAACCTTATTGCATATTTGCAGTCCAAGAGTTTTAGCTTGACACCTTATTTTGGAAAATAAAACGAACGGTGCTGGTATGACGGCATTGCTTATTTAATAATTTATATTTAATTGTTCTACAGGTGACAACTCTGTTCGAAAAATAAAACCAGTTTGCACATCTACAGGTCAAGAACTTTAATTTGACGAACGGTGCAGATCTTTAATGCGGAACAAAAAATGCCTTCGCGTATTATTTTGAACTTAAGTTCTTAAAGAGTGGCAACTCTTTTCGAAAAAGTTAAGCCTTATTGTACACCTAAAGTCAGAGCCCTTTGATTTGACACCTCAATTTTGAAAATCGAACGAACGGTGTGGATAGCATTGATTATTAAATTATTTGAATGAAATTTTTTTTCAGGTGGCAACTCTTTTCAAAAAAGTAAAACCTTATTGCACATCTACAGATCAAGCGCTTTAATCTGACATCTCATTTTTGAAAATCGGGTCAACGGTACAGATCTTTTATGCTGCACAAAAAATGCCTTCGCGTATTATATATATAGATAGAATATATGTGGGCGGTATCACGCCCAATTTACAAAATAATGTTTCTTATTTTCCAGGGATTGTTGTTAGAATTAATTTTGAGTAAATTGACGTCCTTAAATTTTGAAGTTTCACGCATTTTGAAAATTTACCATTATATGAAAAGCGGGCGTAATTTTAGTTCGGTTTTAATAATTTTCAACTTTTTGCTTTTATGTGGCGAGAACAATGGAGCGGTTACCAAGGTATACACATGTAATCATAAGTGGGCGTGGCTTCTCTCATTTTCCAAAAATTTATAATATTCCTATTATTAGTCTAAAAATGATTGCAAATATAAATTTTGTGTGAATAAGCTTCAGTAGTTACTAAAATATCGCAGTTTTCGTATTTCTGAAAATTACTGTTTCGGCGTGGTATATACCAAGTTTCGTGAAGATATCTAAATTTTTACTTGAGTTATCGTGTGAACAGACGGACCGACGAACGGACAGACAGTCACCCCTGAATCGATTTCTTTGTTTATTATGATCAGTTATGTATACATTTGTGTATATCTATCTCAATTCGTTTTGGTTGTTACAAACAACCGTTATGTAAACAACGTTATAATACCCTTTTGAACAAGTGCGCTTGGGTATAAAAACTTACAATTTTTGCATGTTATATAACCAATTATTATTTACATGAGAACTATCCACTAGTGGTACCCGGGTACCTCAGCCATGAGAACTAATAATAAAAAATTATTTTGATCAAAAACCCATCCTTATGAAAAAACCATTTTGTACAAAATTGATAGTTTTAGGATGTCACCAAACTTTAACTCGTTACTATCAGTAGTTTATAAAAAAATTACACTTGAATATGCAAAGGGTACCCGGGTACCCATCCATGAACAGGACGGTTAATGCACACTTTTCTTACCTACTACATATGAAGTGTACACAAAAATACTAATTGCACATAAAATTTCAAACCAGTATATAGTGTGCCTCAAAAGTTATGACATATTTAATTTTTCTCCTCTTTAAAATTACAGGAACAATTCATTTTTTTTTTATTTAAACACCTTTAATTCAAAAGCTATGCAGCTAAATTTATTCAAATTTTTGAGGCTTCAAGTATACGACAATGAATTACATATATGCAAAAGCAACCAGCCTGATACCGTTTACAACAATGAAAATACAGCAAAATAACACACAGGTTACCTGTTTTTTAGATTTGCCCAAATGCTTCCACAAATTGAAGCAATCATTAAATAATAAAATACCACCTTATCAGTTCGAGCGTAATCAAATGATTTTTTTTTTTTAATTCTAAGTCTTGAATTGGCATCTAAATAGGATTTGTGCACTGGTACCGAGCTTTCTTATAAAGGTCAAAGAGGAAAATGAGGCAAAATATCTTGTCTTGAAAACACGTATCAATACGATTGCGAAAATGTGGTGGCGACAAGCAAGACTAATTACTTTTCGCTCAAGATGCTTTTACAAAAGAATTACCTACTGCTCCGGTTTTGACGCA